GACTATAGAAAGTAGTCCTGGACTATAGAAAGTACTCCTGGAGTATAGAAAGTAGTCCTGGACTATAGAAAGTACTCCTGGACTATAGAAAGTACTCCTGGACCTGTCATTGTGTGATTGTCTGGTTCTACTTCCTGTCCTCTCAAACCCAGTCACAAGAACAGAGTACCCAGAGTGAAAGGACTGATCTTGGACAACTCAGACACAATATAAACTCAGTGCTTTTATTTACAGTGGGTAATATTTCAAGAAGTATCAGGAACCCTGGAGAGCAAGGAGATGGCTTAGGTCCAAAGTTCTGTAACAAGGCGTTGATCAGAACGTTCAAGATCCTTACTAGTAGATGATTGGCAATTCGGTTCCAATATCCTGTACGATCATGAGATGGTCCAGTAGACTCAGAAGGGTGTGTGGAGGTCTAGGTGACCAGCTGAAAAGCACATAGGTTTCCAGACATTCAGTCTGATGGTTTTTTTTCAACCTTTATTTCTACAGGTTAGTCCCATTGAGCCCCGAGGACTCTTTTACAAGAGAGACCTGGTTTAACAGAGAGTGATGACATCAGTGGACAATCATAAAAGGGCCATACAAATTGAGAAGAATAAATGAAATGGTATTTAAAAAATGAAATAAAAACAGCAAGGAATCAGTAAGGATGCAGGAGGTACACTGGAAAGGTCACAAGGAAAAAGATATTCACAAGGCTAGAGATTCACAAAAAGGCTGGAAGCACGAACCATAGGCGGGGTAATGCTCCAGCGTTGAAGGGACGTCATCCGGACACATTGCTTGCAGGTGTGGTAGTCTGGCGCCCTCTAGAGATCAAACATGGAAACAGGAACAAGCACACAGAAGATGGCCGCTTGTCCGGAGTCTGGTCCTGCTGGAGGTTTCTTCCTGTTAAAAGGGAGTTTTTCTTTCCACTGTCTCCTTTGTGCTCGCTCAGGATGGGAGACTGTGATGAAGTGAAGATTCACTGCGTCTGCTGCAGATGGATAAGTTTTACTAATTGGCTGTTTAACGTATGTGAATATTTTTTAGCATATAATATAATCCTTATTTATTTTACACTTCATATTTTTGCTATTGTTGAGTGCAACTGGAACCTTGTACATAATTTTGTTCCACCTCATGTGCATGTGGTGAAATGACAATAACTGCTTGAACTTGAACACATGACGTGCTAGTTTTCTGCTGCTAGCGCTGTTTATGACCAAAATAAATTAAAAACGGTGTTAATGTGAAACTGAACGTGGTTTAAACTCATGAAACTATCAGCCTGAACTATGGTGAGGGTTTACTGAGGTCTTGTTTGGATCAGCCCAGGAGTTCTGGAACATAAACCCTGCTAATCCAAACTACAATAAACTCGCTTCACTGTGTGGAAACTTGTCACACGATTATTATTTTTTCTCTTCAAACGTTTTTCAGCGTCCAACTTGTTCCGAAACGTTTAAGACATTTCAACAATTTCTATCACGAAATGTTGGGTCAGTGCGACAGTCCTGCAGGAAGTTCAGTTACTTTTTGAAATGTTTACCTTCTTCTGACTTTGTCCCTCGTTGAAACTGAACACACATCTTTGTTCTCTTCTTCTTCTTTCAGCTGCTCCTTCTTCAGGGTCTCCACAGCGAACTAACCCACACCAAGACTTGGAAATTGTTTGACGTCCTTCCTGACCAACCACAGCCCCTGTGGAGCAGAGCCGCCATCAAGAGCGCCCGGGAGCACATGGTGCGGGTTAAGGGCCTTGCTCAAGGGCCCAGAGTGGGGCAAATGAGGGTGGAGGCAGGTGTGGGTGCTTCACCTTTCCCACCCACATTTTGATGTTGTCTGTACTGAGTTGAACTAGCAATCTTCCCATCACAGGCTGACCTTCTCCAACCTCTGCACCACCACTCCCCACCTTTCACTGCTCATTTATTGCTGCCAATTTCAGCTTCTGTTCATTTTTCTTCTACATTTCAGCTACTTGTAGCTGAAATGTAAAGGCTTTAGCTAGTTGTTGGCTAAAGCATGTCGGCTTAAGCTAGTTGTTGGCTAAAGCATGTCGGCTTTAGCCAACAACTAGCTAAAGCCGACATGCTTTAGCCAACAACTAGCTA